TTCCTTTTCTTTTTCCTCTAACAACTGTTGTAATTTCTTTTCTCGTTCTTCTTGTTTCTTTTCTTTTTCCTCCAACAACTGCTGTAATTTCTCTTGTTTATTTTGCTGTTCGAGCTGCCATTGTTGCAGGTTTTCTTGCAACTGGTGTTGTCTTTCTTCTTGTTTCTTTTCTTTTTCCTCTAACAACTGTTGTAATTTCTCTTCTCGTTCTTCTTGTTTCTTTTCTTTTTCCCCTAACAACTGTTGTAATTTCTCTTCTCGTTCTTCTTGTTCCTTTTCTTTTTCCTCTAACAACTGTTGTAATTTCTCTTCTCGTTCTTCTTGTTTCTTTTCTTGTTTTTGTATTGCTGCCATCAAGTCTGCTAAGTTGTAGTTTGATTTTCCGCCTCTCGTTTCCATTTTTCTTCTCTTTTTTTTTCTCTCCCACTCTCTGACACCAATTTGTTACGTCTTCGTTTGTTAATTAACTTTCCGTAACTTCGTTCCGACGAAACTTTAGAGACACAAGTCCTTTCTTAATAAAACTGGTTTATTCTTTCCGAATATAACTTTACCGATACACTTATTTTCAACAGTCGCTCTTTAATAACGAACTTCAACAATACGTCTCTCTCTGACTGCAGTTCAATTACTCACTACCTACACACACATTGTTGTCCCGTCACGTTGTCGCCCTCTTATATATACCAGACTATCCTATATCTAGTAATCTCCCGACAATTCCCGAAGGTTCGAGAGAACGAGTCACTGATGCAACAATATTAACACTAAGAACAAAACTTTTAAGAAGTAACAGTAAAGAATAATTTCGCGATCTCTACTTCCTCTTTGGAATTGTTTGCTGAAGGACTTGGCTTTGCAGTAACAACCAAACTCTCCTACCAAGTGTGTTTGAATAAAATTTCCTCCCTTAAACAAACTGTTTATTCTATTCGATTGAACAAGTCCTATGAAAATAGAGAAACAACTAAATATTATTTTACTAAAACAAAGCGAAATGCCATATTCACAATAGTATCGTCAATTCATCCCTGCCTTTTTAGTCAACATTGAAATCGACAGTATAAAATCGCATAATAATTCCATTCCTCAAATTTCTACTACTATTGGTGCAACGAATCATGCAGCTTTCAAATGTTTTATTAAACACCCTTTGCCATGAGGGTCTTTTCACAGTGTTATTGGGCAACTGAATAATTGGTTTAAAACTCATATCTTTTGCCTGAATGTTTTCCAGTTGGGTGTTGGGCCATGTCAGTTCTTCATCCTCACTGGTGGATGCCACATCTTGGACTATACTTTGCTGCACTTTAGGTTGGCCGTTTTTTCTATTCTTTGCTTCCTTCTTTTCGCAGTGTTTTCACTCTATATTATCCTATGGTCTCAGGATAATACGTCAGCATTTCCAGGGCGATGTACAGTATTAAAGTTGTACTCTTAGAAATTTGGAGCTACATTACTATTTGAACTTTTGGATTGTAAAAATTCACTAGCCACTTCAGCGCTGCATAATCTGTTCAAAGTGTAAACTTTTGCCCATATACACTGAGTGGTCACAAGTAAATAGACACCTAATTTTTCATCATTTGACCGATTTATGCT